GCTGGAAGATGCTGTCCTTCAGCTCAGTCCACAATGTGCATTAAGGAACATAAAACCATTATCTCCTGTTTCCCCTGAATCCTAAGAACAAGAACTGCAAAACTGCAGCAGGTAAGAAAACAATCCAAGTAGACCGGACTTCTCTCCATCCAAGAACCGGTGGTTCTAGTTTGTCCACAAACTGCACCAGGTGCTGGTTTTTATCTTTCCTTCTCACCCTTTAACAATGAATTCATGGCATCCCATCAAGCCATCTGGCATGCTCATATAATTTCTCTGTACACAGTTTCCAGGGCAGCAAGTTACCACATGAACTCCAGTTCATGCTGGCAGTGCTGTGCCAGAGCCACCATGTTTCCTAAAGCAAGGGACCTTTGCTATACTGCCTCAGGTTTCAGATATTTACAAAGGGAAGTAGAATGCAAGGCTTGGAGGGGTTACTGAGTGGGGTTCATGAAAATTTAATCTTGCAGGTGATTGGGGAAAACACTCTGATGCAAAGAGACTGGAGCAGATGGAGCATATATAAAATATCAGCACTCAAAGATGGGGAATTCTTACTTTCATTCTACTCTGGACAAGAGAATAAGGGGGCAAAAGCATCTGCCATGCATATAAAACCAGAATGACTTAGCCTAGTGAGGGGAGTAGAGGCTTACAGGTTTCCTGTGTTGCTGTAGATTAAGTTCCAATAGGGTGAATACTGGATTATCACACAGTAATGTGAACTGGGTGGGAAGAAGCGTTTGTGACTGGTCATAGGAACCAAGCATGCTGCCATCAAGATCCATATTTTTAATGCCTATTTTCAGTCAGCAGAAATAAACTCCCCTGCAATCATTGGAGCAGCCTGCAGAAAGTCAGGCAGCACAGCAGATAGTGTGCTCCAAGCAGAGTGAACATACCCGAGTCACCTCTCTAAAACCAGACTGTCTATGGTAGGAACTGTTTTTGGAAAACTACAATAACATATGCATTATCTACACTCAGTGCAAAGAGTAAATCAATAAAAATAATGTGACATTATCTTCCAACTGAAAACGCAATTAAATACCAAAAAGGAAGACACCACCATCTAGACAACAGTATGGATTCAAGTCAGATTGAAAAGATCAGCACTGCCTCTGGAAAGTACAGCAAGGCTTCAAAGTAGCAATGGGAATCTTATCTTTTGAAACCGAAAGAAAAACTTTCCAGCCCTGAAACACACCCGTTTCGGTGCTTTCTGCCAATGAAGCTAAGCCAGTCCTACTTTGTGCCATCAAGGAAGATCTCAGTGGAGAAGCAGTATGAATATAGCTGATACCATCAAGAAAGGTAAACCCTACATGTGGAAGACACCAGGCAAGTGACAAGGATCATTAGCAGCTAGAATCATCTCCCCTCACTCCCCAGGAAGGCTTAGCTCTTCACATTAAATTGAACATGGGCTAGATGGTCCTCCCTCCACATCCAGACAATTTCATACCCAGGTTGACCAGTTGTTACTTCTTCATCCCCAAGGAAACAAGGCCCCTGCTTCCTGCATGCCCTCTGTCTGCTGGCTTAGGAATAGAAACAGCGCTCGGGTTCTAATTGAACCTTTACTCCATTGCACAGAGTGCTGCACCAGTCCAACACAGTCAACACTATCTATGGGGGCATGAATAAGTACTAATACCAGCTCACTTCTCACGGGTTAAGGGCCTCTGGCTTTATTTACATGCAAGACAAGCATGTCACTGATTACATGCTGACAGTGCTATGTGTTACTACCCAATGCTGCTGGCTCCGGTCCAAGAGCTAGAACATGCTACTCCGATTCTGACACAAATATCAACAGCTTGGAAACAGAGGTCCAGATGGTTTCATGTCACAAGAGTCACTTTCCATTAAAAAAATTGTAAAATATTGAATGTAAAACATGTATTTAAAAAAGAAACTAGTGGTTATGCCATTCGTTTTTTGAAAGGTTTACTTAACAGCAAATACATATTGTGCCTTTCCTACTTCTTCTGATATAAAAGGCCTTAGTGTTTGTTTTTAATTAAGCTTTTTCTTCATGTGCTTTCCCATATTATGTGCAATATTTACTCTTCACTTCTTTTCACTTGCACCCTTTGTGTTGCAGAACCCCAATGAAACCCTTAGGGCTGCAATTTTAGAAGTTTCACTTACTCCTCCTAGTTGGGGACACAAAAGTCCATCACTCATTACTGCCTTGTGTGATAATTGCTATCCAATAAGTCTCTTCTCTCTCTCACCTAAACAAGTCCTAAAACAGGTACTTTGTCACCTGACAAATCTTGTTTCTCTCATATCGCTAGATCATCACAGCTACAGCAACACTACACTAGTAGCACTATTCAAGTCCTCCAAAGAGCTGGCCAGTGTCCCCCAGCATAGAAGGGAAAGGTGTGGATTTAATATTTCCTCTGTGAAAAACAAGCAGAAATCTTTACAGCATGTTGGTAAGAGGCCATGTTTACACACAAGGAGGGAGAGGCATCCTTTTGTTTTTGATTTTGCTTTGCAGTTCACATTTAATGATCTTCAGTTCAAAATCAGCTATAGTCTACATAAATATATGGTGCACATTTAACCTGGGGAGGAACGTCCTCTGAATGAAAAACATTTACAGTTGCAGCATATTTCTGGTCTAGAATTGTTGTTCCATAAGAGCCAATCTATTTTATGGGGAACTCCAAGCACACAGTGTGTAACCTCCCAGTGCTGTTTCTGCACCTGCAGCTAATACCTCTTCACTGCACTGGTTTGTAGAGAGACCTGTTCTATGTGGAGACGTTCCATTAGTGTGCCAGTACCGTGAAGGTGCTTTGATGAACGTCAAACAACTCTTGTTAACATGCACACCTTTAAGTGACCTAGTAGTTAGCTCTCTGCATTGCACCATGAGAACTTGGGTTTAATGTTTGTTTCTTTACTTCTAGGAAAGGGAAGGAAGCACTGTAGACAGTTTGTTCAGGCCATGCTAGCTGGGGAAAGAGCATTGGGTTGATGTGGAAGAAAGCATGTTTTCGACGCTTGCTAAACAGCATTGCTGATTCTTTCTAGAGAGCATCCCATCCCTGTCTCTCTGGCTGCAAATATGGTGCATGGGGAAGGTCCTTGAGGGTGGCATATGACATCAAGAAAACTTAAGTGTGGGGCTATTTAGTGTTTCCATAGGAGCATACACAACTCTTCTGGGGAATGTAGATGGCCAGAAGCAAGAAACCATATTAGCCTCTCCATCATTATAAATATAGGAAAAAGCAAGTAAAGGACTCGCAGCATGATGCAGCAACAAATTATAAAAAAGGACCCCAGGGCTTCAGGTATCAGTTTCATCAACAAGTCTGATATCTACTTTACAGGGTTAGCAGTCTCAGTGGTGCTATGTAGATTTGTTTGGGAATGACACTATCACTCACGCACAGGTGAAGAGCAAGCTGAATATATTTATCAGTTACCATTAAAACAAAGGCTAAATAAAGCACATTAATGGTGCAACTCCAACCAAACTGTTCTGGGTAATTCAAAGTTAGAGTGATGCCTGGCATCAGACATCACACCCTATGCACAGCGCTATTTAAGGTAAGCCCTGTGGGATCAATTTAAGTTTTGGGAGTCTAGTAAGTGGTCTTTCCCGGAATTGTGACTGAATTGCTGAGTGTACATCTGCTTGCTACTGTGTGTAGGAATACAACAAGTGCCCTCCTAGCTCAAACACAGCAGCCCTACTAATTAGGCCAAAAAAAGCCTCCTCTGGCAGACACTATTGTAACTGTGCAATTTGCTTATGGGTGGATTGGACAGTGAGAGGGCTCACGCTCTAGGTGGGAGGGAAAGATGGGGGAAATGTTCACGTCACAGTTTTGACTCGTTACAAACTTTTAATATTTAAATAAATTATAAGATGGTTAGTTTAGAGAGGGATCCTGAAATGCAGAGGAAAAATCTGCTAGGAACACTACCAGGCTCTCACAGTCCTGTATATGTCCAGGCAACCACAAAGTGGAGGGCAGGACAAGATACAAATGCAGGTCCACAAATACTGCCCTCTATGTGAAGCAGGGACCAATCTGCAGCAGTGTCTTGCTCTTTTGCAGTTAACGCCTTCCCTCCCCCAATGATCCAAGAAATGTAACATTAACATTATTAATCAGAACACTAATAAATAGACACAGGTAACAACAGTCCAGTCATTTAAAGTGGAGGTTGTAGGATGCAGCAGGCACACACCCAAAACTTGTCCGTTTCTTAAAAGGTACAAAAATGAATCTTCTTTCAAGTATTAAAAAAATAAGTTAATTGACATAAAAGGGTCAAAGTGACTAAGGGCCCAGGCAGGTCTTAAGCTTCATTTCCAATGTGCAAAAACAAAATAAGGAGGAAAAAAATAATCAAAACAAACACTGAAGTGTCTCATCAACAAGTCACCCAAACATGGCTCCCACTTGGGGTTTATAAGTCAGACTTCTGTTTGACGATCCCCTCAACACACTTGCCACATCTCACAAAGTCAATATGTTCCAGTGTCAAAACAGTCGCAACAACAAACAAAAAAAACAACAACAACCCGAAATCCATTAGCCTTTCAACTGTGGCCATGAAGACAAGGCCAGCAGTGACTGCCTGTCCAGTGTGTAGCAACATGTGGGGAGATATGGGAGTCTTCCCCACTTTTTCATTCTTTTCTCTCCATAACAATGGCAGAATTCTGAAGAGTATGATGGAAAGAGTCCTCCAATACCCAAGTCTCTGCAAAAGCTACAAGGAGCAGAAGATTTCAGTCGAACAGACTACCTACATTTCTTCGTGTCCATGCATAATGTTTAAATTCAGGTTTCTTTGGTGGGGAGGAAGACTAAAACAATGAAGGTGCTGTTCTGGAACACTGGCGCTATCCTTAGGATGGTTAACTCTTCCACAAGTGCTGCTACAGGCTGCTGTGGTTTTCAGGAAGAGGGTAGCCACTCCTTCCCTTTTATTAAAAATCCTAGTATTGAAAATGGGAGGGGAACATAACTGCAGCAAATCCAGTCTGGTGAAGGGTTACTTCTCTAAAAGATAATAACCTCTTCCTCTGTCCCCAAAGTTTATTCCTCTCCCTCATATTGTAAAAACACAACGGCCCCTTTGTACCAGGCCCTAAGGAGGCTGTGCAGTCTTAGCCTTCGACTTGGTGTGCAGACATGTGGAACTGAGGCCTTTGGAGTTAATCCCAGTTATCAAAAGGCTTCTAGGTGCTTGAAACTGAATCCTTGCGTGCTGTAGGAATCTTATGGTTTCCTCCTCAAGATCTCCTGAGCCAGGTAGTTCTGGCGGACTCAGTGTAGGCCAACTGGACAACACAAACCAGCAGAGGTGGGTGTTAGCTCAGGACCAGTTCAAGCTAAAGCCTTTGGAGAGCATGACCGCTTCTAGGTCCTTGTCCTCCTCCTTTTCTCGTAACCTCTGCTCCTCAAGAAGGGCTACTAGAGAGTCTCTCTGTTCCACCACTTCCAGCATCTCATTCAGGATCCTCTTTTCCTCTGACAGCTCCTCATCTGTCTTTAAGTGATCTGGAGAGAAATCCAAAAGTGTAAGAGCAACCAGGACTGGAAACATGCACATACTCCATAAGAAGTTGTCTCTCTTGACACTCACCTTCCACTGCCATCCTTTCCCGGAGCTCCTGCTGTAATCGGCTCTGCCTGTCTTCCAATTCCAGCTCCCGAGCACTGAATAGAGAAACAAAACAGAAGACTATGTAAGATTTAGGTAGGTTTAGATGTGTTGGCTGGGAGCCAATCCTCATTCAAATCTGGCCAAAGATTATTGGTGCTGAATCATTAACATTTTCCATTTTTTAAGTGTGGAAAAAATGGCTGCATAGGTCCAGAGATGTTCCAAAAGACATTACACAAAGGTACTGGAAGAAAATCTGAGAAGGTAAATAGAGTTGGGAGGATTAAAGTCCCAAGTAGTGGACAGATGGAAAAAAACAGAACTTTGGGGGAGATTCTCTTTTCCATGTAGTTGGGTACCAACCAGCCCAGCTGCTCTCTCACAGTCTTATTCATAGTGTTAATACCTACACTTAAAGTATAAGATAGGGAGAATGGGAAGGAGCAGATACATCTGCAATTTCTGCAGAAGACACAATTTACTTCTTTGCGAGTAGTAGGGCTGAGTGATGAGGGACAGGAAATATACGTGTAGCAAGGATTGTTTTTAGCGACATCTTTCACTGGACCACCTGGATAGTAGGGAGAGGTGCTAGAGAATCTTCCAGGCACAAATTGTTCTTCAGGTCTGGGAAAGAAGCAGATATAGTTTGAGCTAGAAAACAGATAGCTCAAGAGCAGTAAGAAGTGCAGTAGAACAGATAAAAAAAAGAAGTGGACTAAAACTAGACAATAGCTTTATGGCTCATTGCAATCTAGGGGCTACCTCTGCTAACCTCCCTTTACCTCAAGTGTAATAATGACTCTTGAATGATCTTGCTCTGTAACTAATTAGGTTATCTAGTCTACTGCACTTCTCTTGTTTGAAGCCATTGTCTTTGTTCCTACTTTACAGCTACGCACCCCCTGCATTCCCTTAAGTAGATTGAAGGCAGAGTAGAGATGCCCCTTACAGACTAACTGAATCAGAGATGCGTAAGTTTTCATGAGCAAGAGCTCACTTCATCAGATGCAGACTGTTTGTCTTTGTACTTGGAGTTGTATACATGCCACTGTTTTGTTACTCAACTCAAGTCGTCTGCTTCTTTTCCAGACCTGAAGACAGACAATACATGCCCAAAAGCCTGTCTGACCTCTCTCATCTATGCAGCTGCTCCAATAAAAGCTGTCACCAAAATAATCCTTACCTTCTGTGCATGTGCAACTCTCTACACGTTACACTTAAGGTGTGATTAACCAGTTACTTACACATTAAGTTGTGACACAGTTATACATTCAACCAATTGATGGAATGATAAAACAAACAATAAACTACAAAACTGTTCCACAACAAATATGTAATAACTTTGTTAGCTTATTCTAATCTCACTATTAATTGAACATGTGGTCAAACACACTCCTTTGGGGCTGGGAGCACCAACAACTGAGGAGCTAGGGTAAACCACCCGTTGCCAGCCCCACAGTTGACAAGTCTTGCAGAGGCAGTAGCATTCCCAGTGCTGCCCCTGCTGCGAGCCTCTTTAGCTGTGGGGCTTGCAGTGGGGAGAGTGCTGCCCCTTGCAAGCCTCATAAGATGCAAGCCTCATCAGCTGCGGGGCTTACAATGGGGGCAGTGTTATCAGCTGAAAGGCTTACAGCAGAGGCAGTGGGGGAATGCTGCTGCCATTGTGAGCCTCCTCAGGTGTGGGGTTCACACAAGCGGCAGTGTTCTTTCCACTGCCCCTGCTAGGAGCCCCACAGCTGACAACACTGCCCCTGCTGCAAGCCTTACAGTAGGTGTCATTGGCTGTAGGGCTCATAGCCATTGTGATCCTGGGCTCCCCCTGCACCAGCAATAAGGTATGATGGGATCTAAAGCACAATTGCGCAGATCTTGTATTAGATGCACTGCACCTTTACCTACATGGGTACAGAAGCCCTGAAGAAAAACTACTTACCAACTAATGAACATTAAGGTGCCCTACCTCCTCAGACACAGACCCGAGTAGCACTTTGTTACCTATTACCTGTACTCCAGAGCTCACTGAGCTTCTGAAACCCCAGAGTCAACCTGTGCCTGCTCAGAAACTAGTTAGAATTGCATGCAACACATCGTTGGCTATAAATACTGAAGAAGAGCTGCAGCATCTGAGCCCAGATGAAAGGTCATGGGATGTGCCTGAAGACTAAGAGAGGGCTATTTGGGAAATATGTCCAACTAAAAAAGAAGGGGTAGAATGGCAGCCAAGATGGTTACATTCATTACCTTCCTTAAACCAGGAGAATATGTTGACTCATTCTCTCCAAAGACTACCCACCACTAAAATTACAGATCAGAATTTTGGGATAAACTTGTGAGCATGGGGTGCTTTGTATGGGAAATACTTAGGAGGACTGTTACAGGGCCCTAATCTTTAATTCAGTTTCCACACTTTTGGACTGACTCAAATCTTTTGACCTTTTGTACATCATTAGTTCTTTTTCTAGTAGAGGTTTTTCCTAATGTACCCTAGTTATTTATTAGCTGAGAATCTGAGACACTTCTTAATGCATAACATTAGGCAGACTAGGTGTCCTGAACCCCGGACACTGTCTGCTAAATCTTCAGCAAAATCTTGGCTCAATAAGGCCTCCCTCCCTGCCCTTCTCCTGATTTTAACAAGGTGTCTGCTTCTAACTAAGCTCCCCGCTCTTCCCCTTTCCCTTCCTGGAAGATAGTACTACATTTGGCTAGACTGCCAAAATATTATTAGCAGGGAATTTCAACGACTTTGTAGATTGCACCTGGAAGATAAGTCAAGTGTTATTTTCCAGGAAGAGAGAGGTGCGAAGGAAGGTTTGACCATAAGGGGACATCTAAAGTAGTAAAATAGGATACACCTGCATAGGTACCCATATGTTAACTGGTTTTACTCATATGGTAACTGATTTTCTTAAGCTGACATTAGAATCTGATTTTTTAATAGATATTCAATGTATAGCAGGTTAAAAAAAAAAGTAATTTTTCAGATATGTAACCCCTGAGCACTTACCCTCTGCTAGCCAGTCTGATCAACCAGCTAACAATGATTAAAGGTTCTCTAGTTATACTTGCTGGGCACATCTACACATTCATTAATGAGCTGTAATTACAGTGCATTTAGTTAGTATCTGTAATGACAAATACTGACTTAACGTGCTGTAATTGACACTACAGTGCATTAGCTCAGAGGCACTTTTTTGTGATGCTACTGTGCATTAGCACAGACTTTCCCCACTGTGCTAATGCGCAGTATAATTAGTCTTCTGTGCATTAAGTGTCTTGTGTAGAGGCACCCACTTTGTCATTTCTTTAAGCTTAGTAAGTACTATGTGCAGTAAACCAGGGAGGAAGTTGAGCAGTGCAGGGCTGGGGCCCAGTGAACCCAGCTGCTCACAACATGTTACTGGCCTCCTGGCAACATAGAGAAGATAGTGCCAGAAGCAGGCCCTCCAGCACTAGTTGTGTATAATGTCATCTTTGAAGCTGTACTACACACTGTGAAGAAAGCCCTTGTTCACTCACAAGATCATCAGCTCCGATTCATAGCGAACCAAGGCATTCTTTTCTTGCACCAACTTGAACCACTCCTGCATCAGCTTTGGATCGTCCTTCTTCCCCATGCCTGCAAAGACAAAAACTTCTTAAGCATCCAGCTGATGTCCTGACATCCCTATGAGCCCAAGAGGCAGGAACACAAATGGGGGCAAACTGTGCAAAGAAAGCCAAGCAAGATGCTGCCAGAGCACTCCCAAGCCGGGTCCATTTAGTTTGCCCACAGCACACAAAGAGGAGGGCACAGAACTGTGGAAGTCACCTCTTAAAGAATTCTCTCCTCCTTGGATCAATATTTCCTGAATCCCTTTTACCACTGCTCTCTTGTCTTCCCACTATCCCAAATCCATCATTTTATGACTCGTGTCTACTTCACTTTCATTTGATGAACTTCGCTAACGTTTCCAGTTCTCAAGCAGTTTACTGTGTGCTGACTGGTAGATCTCCATCCCTACGATTGTAGCCTTTTGATGTACTTTTCCTTTCCTCAACCACATAAATTGAATCAGTGCCCTTTTGTCATCGTCTAATGAAAAACTTTCTTTTCACTGGCTTCTCCATTAGATGTTTTTCCCATATATCTCTGCCCCTTTTGGGAAGTCTTCTGTGTGTGCAATCTATTAACAACAGTCCACAGTATCCTATAAGTAAGTTTCCCGCTACAGTATTACTTATCAGTATTAGAATGAGACACACTGAAGCCTACCTATACTTGCTAATGTAAAAAGGGGTAGGAGGAAAAGAGTGCTGGGCCTTGATGACCCAACTTACTTCTCATTTTCTTAAATGTACTTTATCTCAAAAGGAACAACCTGCCCTTATCCAATAGCCTACTGACAAAACTCCACTTTTGTCAAGAGCTATGCAGATTGAATTGCTATACTACGGTTCCTTAAAGTCTCTGCAATGAGTTAGGTGCGTGTCAAACCCAAGAGTACACTCCTTCAAGGCAATTCCTATTTTGGGCCTTTGATTCAGCCATGAACCATGTACAGATGGATCCCTATGACTGCATGCAACCTCACTTTGGTTGTAGTGGTCTGCCTGTCTGCCTGCCTGCATGGAAGTTGTTGAAGGTTTGGGGCTTTAAAGATGAGTACTAGGATGTAGGGATTTAATTGACAGCTCTGACTAATTAGATGTTATAGACACAGAACATCCATGTTAAAAGCAGCTTCTCTTGGCTTTAAAGGCAGTCTGTTTAATGTGCTAGAAACAACCAAGCAGCAAGTTTTCTATTCTAATACCAAATCCTGCAAAAACTGGACATACATCTCACTCCAATGGCCAGTGAACATAATCTGTGGCCCTCCTCCATCCCTAACTCCAATGTTCCCTTGGAGCCAAACAGTAAGGTCCTGTACATCCTGCTAAGCAGTTGTGAGGCTGTTGCATAGCTTAGTAATACCTGCAGCTGAAATACAGAGTCCGTGAACCCTTAGGAAATGCTGCCCCTCATCCACACCCACCCACAACAGACTCTGGCTCTCTGGATTTTATACCAGTCTGTTGCTCAGTTCTAAGCATTCCTTTCTGAGCATCTCTGCACAATATGCCCACCTGGCCATGGGAGAGGGGAATTTATACATGCAGATATCCAGTTCGGGGGAGCCATGAAAGCACTGGGAAATCTCCCCACCCTTTCCAGTGCCAGGATATAAAGAAAATAAAAATCTCTAAGAAACAGCCAAATACACATTGCTACTGCCCTGTGAAATAGATTGATTTTTGTTTTAAATAGCCAATGAGCACAGGAATGTGGGAGGGGTGGGGAGGGAGGGTGGACAATCAATGTGAGAGAGCACTATGAAAAGCAGAGTAAGTGGTTCGCAAAAAATTACACCATGATCACATCCCAACCCCTTCCCCCATGCCTTGGCAATGGAAACTCTATGGCAAATTCCATTTGGGACAAATTCAAGAACGCACTCGCAAGACACGGATTATGGAAGACTGGTTGGTTGGCTATTAAAACTCAGGGATATTTTGCAAACCAGTCTTTGTAAGGACACAGTATTCCTTTAATCCATCCATACAAATTAATAAGCCTGTTAATGAAGGAGATTCTCTTCTCTCACCCCCATCTCCCAGACACCCTTCATGAAGAATAGAGAAAAATCAAATACACCAAATGAAAACAGGAGCTTTGCAGTGTGACGCTGCTGCAGCCGCGATTGTAAATCAGTGTGCCTTGGACTTTGAGACATCTCTCCCCACAACTTAAAACAGAAAAAGGGATACTGTACCTTTAAGAAATTGCCATGTATTCATACAAGCTTGTTACAAGATTTCTACTGAGAAGATTAATTGAAGGAAAGAAAGAAAGGCCTTTGGGAGTTGGGTTGGTTTCTTCAGTCACTAGCTGACTAGTGCTGCTATGACAATTCAGCTGAGGCTGAGGGGCATGGGGTTTGCATGAGGTTACATTACCTTCGTGGGCACAGCAAGGGCAGAAGGAGAGAGGTCTACGACGTGGTGTCCCGGCATTGGGCTCAACTTCAAAAGGAGCAAACGAGGAAGAGGAAAACAGGGGAGAGGAAGAGGAAATTGGAAGTGGAGAGGAAGGGGGGAAGGGGTGAAATAAAAGACAAGCAGAGGACAAAAAGCATAAAAGAGTGAGAAAGAAAGGAAACAACAAGAAGAAAAGAAACGAAAATACGAGAAATGGAGAAGCAGAAACAAGGGAAACAATCTACAGATGAATAAAATCCCTCACTGGCACAGATAACGGACAAAAGCAGACTGAGGCACTGGGGAAAACTTACTGAGCTACGTATCTTCCTGGAGACAGATTACTTTTGAGTTTTTCCTTATTCATTGCATACTTTCAGTTGCATTGTCTTAACTCTAATACCATGCCATATAGATGAGATTCCAGGAAACCAAAGTGAGGATAGGTGATTAATTACCTTCGGCAACATTAGTTTCTTAAGTGAAGTTACAAAAAGTCCCACTTGTATCTGTATGGTACCAACACTAAACAGCAACCCTACCTTAAAGATTTATCATGGCCATAAGTTTATCACAACAGCTTCTACTGGTGGTGAAAACGTTCCTTTTTTAATGGAACAGAGGTCCCTGAGATATAGGGCTGTGAAGGGAAAATTTGGTTAATATATGTGGGATGTGGCATGTGAGAAGCTGTTGGCTAGGATACTCTGTCTCAAACATTGGTAAGCACATGTATTTGTTAGTCTATCAGCATTTAGAATCAGAAACAATACCTAAATGGGCAAAAAATGACACATTTCAGTATGTGGGGGGGGAAAAGGTAAGGTCACCCAAAACTCATTTTAGCAGTTTGTAACAATAAAAAGCCAGATTATTTTCCCCCTATCAGCCACTGACATGCAATTCTATTCCACCCTGCTTGAATCCCTGAAAATACGTTAATGTATTAATGTAACAACTTCCATAACATGCTAACACTTTAGCCTTAAGTCTCAGTCACAGAAAAGGAGCAGAAAGTGGCAGACTAGTCCATCTTCTGTGTTCACTGTTTTTCAAGGACTTGAACCAGGGTGTAAAAGGAGCCAAAACTTGAAAAGTCAGCATTCCAATTCCCACCTCACAAAGTGAGGCAACGGCACAGGTCTCTGAGGCCTGTTACACTGAATCCTGCATTGGTAATGGTAGCATAGATAACACAGTAAGTCTTTTTCCTCTTTTCTATTGTTATCTGATGTAAGATAAACATGTGTCTTGTACAGAAGAGCTCAACTACTTGAACACTGAGAATCCACTTTTCAGCAGCACTCAACATTATAGGGACTAGGACATGTCCACCAGTAATCACTGACATTTCTGAAAGTAACACAGGTGACCACCTGCAACAAGAAGGTGAAGTCCCTGGATGCCAGAGCTGGTGGTGTATGCCACTTGCTACTCAGAATGTACAGCTGTAGTTAAAAAAGGAAGGAACACCTGTGTCAGTGGAAGGCATGATTCATCTGATGAGAAGAATGCATAATGCACAGACATCCACAGAACTCTGGTTGTATGATCGAGAGTACAGCCCCAGAATACCACCGAACTGGGCATAGTTTCAGAAGGGACCATCACAGAACTACAGCAGCACATAGAGGCAGTACATCAGCTTGCAATCCTGTGGCTGAGCAGCATGGTTCTCAAACACAGGAAAAAACTTTTGCACTGGGAGTAGGAGGGGTGACATCAAGGAGGGGTTCCACAACTGGCTGCATGATAATTACAGCTAAAGCATCAGATCAGCCTTCAATGACATTCATATTCTCAAACACTTCTTTTCAGTCATTTAGACCTTACTTAAAAATTACATTTGCACTGAAATCTCCTAGGGCTCATCTACAAGTGCCTTTTTGGAGTTAAGATTAAAGTGGATTCACCTAAACCACATAAAGACACCTCTAGTGCAGATGAAGAGGACCCCCTCTCCCTACCCCAGGAGTTGGTGCAGAATAGTCATTGTACTTTACAGCCAGACCCCATCTTACTTTCAGTTCCCTGGGTGGAAAAATCTTGACACTTGTTTTTCAGTTAACAAGTCTTTTTTTTTTTTTTTTTGAGAAATCCTCAAGCAATCAATGTAACAAAATGTTTACACTTTGGAGAGAGATTTTTTCAGAGACAGAGAGAGAGAGAGCGTGTATGCACGTACACACACATACAGGAGGGCAGTCTCATAAGAAATGCAGCTCTGTTTACTTCATTATTAGTGGTTCTGTAGGCCTGAATATAAAAATAATGATCTGCCTTGTTTGATTTAGAAAGAAGCACTCTAGAAGTATCTGTAACATACACACCATCTGAATTCTACCTCCTCACTCAAATCCCTGCCAGAAGGCTATTTCTGTAAGGAGTCAGAGTGCTAAGCAATATCTGTCTCTATACAGAAATATTCTAAATTACCATTACTATGAATCTATGAATCTATGAATCTATGAAAACCATACCGGTATTTTCTTGCTTGAATTTTCTCTTTTACATTGAGAGTTTGCTGGGCAAAACAATTTTTTATGGGTCTAACAGAGCATTGAGCACAGTGCTGAATGAGTCAAAACGTGCAGCAAATTATGCTGTGAGAATGTTTCC